GTTCGCTACTCCTAGCCAACCAAGTCGCGCAACCCTTGCGGCGCAACTTGAGCCAAAATAGAAGTGAAACAACTGTACAACATGCAACACGAAAAACTACGGGGCAGACCTAAGCTACATCTAATGGCATACCACACTCGCCCCTCAGCTTAGGCTGCCCGCGCTGATGCCGCGAATCGCGGGCACCAGCCGCGAGGCAGGGCACGTCCCTCGCCTCTTTATGCCGCGCCTTCGTGATCTTCGATCGTGATCCCTCCTTCATAGATTTCCTCGAAGGCGCGCAGCCACTTCTTGGCTGTTTCACTCTCCTGAGAGATCTCGAGCGCCACCCCAGCCTCATAGTTGGCCTTCGATGAGGTCGTAAGATTGCAGCTCCCCACGACCAACTGAACCGGAGAGCGCCGATCCTCCCGGTCGGTCTGCACATACGCAGACTTCCCGTGCTGTAGGCCGCGCAATTTGCGCCCCAGCCTCACGGACCTATTGTCCCGTTCATAGGCCTGACTGACATTGAGTCCTTCCGTCAGCCTGACTCGCACACCAGACGATCTCAGTTCCTTCAGCATCTGGAGCTGCGTCTTGGTCTTTCCAGCGGCTTGCGAGCGATCTGCGACGACCATCGTCAGGCAACCCCTCTCGGTTGCTTGTTTCAGGCTATTGATCACATCTGGCTGATCAAAAGAGTAAGCCCGAACCAGCACACGGCCGCCCTTCCCCACGGACTCCAAGACTTGGACGAGCCAGTCAAAGGTTTCAGCGTCACGCAGGAACTTGACCCTGCATCGGTCCATATCATCGCTCTCAGCCTTATCCTTCAAGGCCTTAGGTCGGGGAACGGCAACTGATCCAGCTTCAAGAGCTGTCGTTGGCTCATCCACGTTGCTCCCTCGACCGCTGTCCAAACTCAGGGACTCCTTGATGACCTTTCTTTTGAAGTCTTGGGCGTCCTCAATCGCATTTGTCTGCGGAGGAGCTTCTGTGCCCTTCAGGGTCTTCGCCTTTTCCACAAGCCCTTGGAAACAGCTCCCCAAGCCGAGACCCATGGACTTCCTTGGCCGATCCTCACTTCCGCCCATTGCCGCGATGCCACGAGCAGCAGTACTCGAGGATGACCCGGCGCCGACCATCTTCCGATGGGCCGCCACTGCGGACGCCACATGGTCGCACGTCCCAGAGGCCAAGTATTGGCGGCAAGCGCAACCAGAGCTGTTGCCACTGACTCGGACTCTATGATCTTTCTTCGTTCCTCTCACTTGCCAGGTCGAAGAGGTACCATCGAAGCTCAGCAGCCGGGGCTCCATAGAGTTGCCATTGGTCATATGGACCCAGGCATTTGCCATTTTTCGAGATACCCACCAACATGCCAAAACGGCAAGCACGACCTTTCCGATCCTAAAACCAGTTTCAACGAAGGATGCTACTTCCTCTCCACCTTCCGCGATCACCACTTGGAACGCTTCCGAACTGGTCTCCACAATTTCTTCTATCTCAATCTGAACCTTTCGCACAACCGGGGCCAAAAAGGCGGCTATGACCAACCCTAGCTTGTTGGCCGATAGCCCATTGCCATTGTCCGCATGGGCCTTCTTGTTGCGAGCCTTCCGCGACACAGACCAACCAGAGCGCCGGCGCTTCTTGGTCGATCTCTTCCTCCTGGTCGCGCGAGGGCTGCGAAACGCAAGCCCCGCCGCTGACCCAGCAGACCCGGCCCTCTCCCTTTTCTTATGGCCCTCGCTCTTGTGGCGCCTCCCGGCTCGCTTGCGGTGGCCGCGGAGTTTGTGCGCCTTTTTCTGAGCCAGAAACTCTTCGTTGGCCTTCCTCACGGCCTCCGACTCCTGGCGAACTTCCTCCTCCGAGGAATCCTCTTGAGAAGGACGGGGATAACTGCATTTATAGCACTTAAACCTGAAGGACAGGTTCCCTTTTCCACAGTGATCACAGTCCCATGACTTCTCCTTAAGGATCTGTTCGATCTTTGTTACTCCCGCTTCTCTCTTGGCTTTTCTTTTCTCTGCGGCAGGCAATGCGGACTGAGCGGGGCGAGCCGACGCAAGACGCCGGCAGTCGCGGTCGTATGTGCCAGTGCACTGCGACCCGCTGACCCAACCGACGCATTCATTAGCATCGGGAGGACTAACTGTCCCGCAGAGCCTGCAGACCCAACTTCCTGCCTTGTAGGTGAGTTCACCTAATCCATCATCTATATTCCACGCGGCCCCGACTGCTAACCTTGGAGCCGCGGCAGCCGGTGCGGCCAGCCTGCGCTGGGCATCTCCCAGCTGGACTCCCTTCCGGTGGTCCTTTGCTCGGAGCCGCGACCTCAACTGCTTCTTGAGTTTCCGGACCGGTTCTTCGGCCCGAAGTCCCGCGGCAAACCGGCTGTCGGCGTTAGGCACGGGTGCGCGCGTTGGGCACGAAGCTCTTGCCGCCGCAAGCCGTGCACTGGTTTCGGCAGAAGCGTCGGCAACGTCCCGGCCATAGTCTTGCGCCTCACCGGCTGCCTCATCTCTGCCTGATCTTTTGCGCACGGCCGCAGACACCGTCGCGCTACCGGCTATCACACGGAGGCGGCGTTGGAGCTCATCTTCTCCGCCCGCTGTCGGACGCTCCTGCTGCTTTTCGACCAGACTGGTCAGTCCCCCGGCACTCCCATACTGGTAGGTCAGCTCTGAAGTAGCTGCAGCAGCCAGAGTCGTCTCTATGAGCCGTTGGCCCGGATGCCGTCGGGGCTCGGCCCACACTTCGCGGAGCTCTTCAGCCGTCATCTCCCCGCGCAGTTTATTCGCGGGTGTCTCATCCTTGTTCTCCGGGAGGATTCCGCGGCCAGATCGCGGAAACGCAGACCCGGCCCGCGGCAGGTCCTCCTCGCGGCCAGGTCGCGAAAACGCCGACCCGGCCCGCGATGGCCCTTCTTCGACTTCGATTTCTTCCATAGAGCTAGTGCTTGAGGCGGCCTCCTTTTTTGCGCCACTTTCCGGAGAGGCGACTTCCTTCTTTGCACTGGCAGGGGGCTCTTCTTCCACAGTAATCTCCTCATCAGTGCTACTGCTGGACGATGAAGTGGACTCCTCCCCTCCTGAGGAAGCAGACTCTTCTTCCTTCACCGCCGTCGAGGTCTCTTGCTTTACTTCACCAGTCTCCTGCTTCACTTCACATGCAAGCAGATGACGACGCGGCCCCTTCTCCAGCCACTGGAGCGCTCTGCGCGGGACCACGTATGACCCTGATCGACAAACTCGATTCAGAGTCACTTGTGGGCAGCTCTGCAGGCGTGAACCCACGGTCTCGCGTCCAGAGAACCTCGCCCTCTTTTCCTAGCGCACTGTCAAAGACACTAATGCGGAGGATACACTGCTTTGGCACATCATCGGTCAGGACGACATTGTCACCACCGAGTCGCATTCCGATTCGGTGCGCTCGTAACGTTCCCACTGTGGTTATGGCAGCGACGTCTGTGCCGCTCCTGACCCCTGACTTTTGCCCTTCCTTGCCAATTGCATTTGCCGCCCAATGACAGAACAGCCTGTTGACCGTCATGTCTCCACCTCCGCCTGCTTTCAGGCCATCATAGCCGATCAAGACTACCCGATCCCGGAACGTTCCATGAACGAGAACGGTGTCGTCATCAAACGGCAGATCCTGATCGTCATTGAAGTCTTCGCGGGTAAGCCCGCTGTCAGCGGAATGCCCCTGGCCGGCGCGGATGAACTTCCCATCTCTGCTCAGCTCTGCCCGCCGTTTCTTCCGACCATCGCTTTCCACCCAGGCCACTAGGTCGACGATATCCTTTTCTTGGACTTCGAAAGCCCTTGCGACTTCACGGACTTCCACCCAGCCATCCTGCTGGAGTTTCCCTCGCAACTTGTGGACGCCGTACTTCGATCGGCAGCTCCCGTGCCTAAGGGCCTTGACCATGAGGAACTCCAAGTCGTCCCAGTTGTGGCGGGGATCTCTCTGGGCTTGCTTTCCCTTCTGCTTTCCCCAGCCTTTGTTGCGGCGGCCTCCCCCGCCGCCCATAGTCCGAAGCACGCGGACAGGTCGCGAAACGCAGACCTGTCCCGCGAAGCTAGCGAAGGTCCTCAAGTCCTTGCTCGCGCTTCTAGCCGCAAAAGCCTGAACACACCGACCCAGCCAAAACCCGGCCGCGCGCCCAAAGCCAAACGGCTGCGGAAAACAACCCCATATTAACCCAGTAAGGGGGAACCTAACGCTACCCATGCTACATTTAGAGGAAACCTCTTACCCCAGTGGTTAGAACCCTGCTCCCGCATCCTAGAGTGAAACACCCTTTCGGACCGCGGGCGAGTCGGGTGGTTGTGATCCGACTCTTTTTCATCGTGCTTCGACTTGGCGACACTCAGCCCGTCCGGCCTCACACCTAGAGCTTCCAAGGCTTCTGGGGCCGGCTGGCCGACTACGACTGGCGTTCGTTTCATGGCTTCCTTGATCTCGGCATCGTGTTCTTCATCAGACATCATAACTCCGTCAACAACTCTACCGGTCCTGACCGTAAGGTCGTCAACGTAAGCAATCCACTCTTTTGCGAACCGTTGTTCCGGCCCCGACCTGGCTCATAAGCCCTGTCCACAACGTAGCAGAAATCATCCGGCCCATTGATGGGTCCGAACGTCAAGCACACTGGCAGAAACTTGCCTGATCGGGCCACGATGGCCAGGACTTCCATGGCCCTTCGAGTGTTCTCTATTTGGTTGAAACCGGTCACCGCGTCCACAAAAGAGAAGAATATAGAGCCGCTACACTGAGCCAAAACATCCGTAGCCTTTCTGCAGTAGTACGTGGATCTTTTGACTCTCGCATTACCCTGAGGATCCGATATTGAAAAAAATCAATCCTGATCAATCCTGATCAATAATATTGAAAATGATTTTTTTCAATACCAGGAAAATATGTTTTTCAATATCGAGGATTGAAAGAAAAGATCAATATTTCCAATCAATATCGATCAATAGCATGATCAATATCATATAGTAGTATCATCAGCAAGTCAAGACCATCATCAGTCTTCAGCTACAATTGTCAGATCCATTTTTCAAGCATGTAGGGGGCCATCAGAGGCATTCACAACGCGCAAGCTTCTATTTCATACTTATATGTGCCAGAGCTGTTTTTGCTTATAGCAGGTTTAAACTCATTGCCTGGTCTGGGCCTGAAAGAAGGCCATTCTTCAAAGTTTTGGGGTTTCAGCTGGTGTGTTGTGGGCTTGAAAGATCAATCATCTTCAAGGGATTTGAATCTGAGGATTTTCAGCTTGCTAGGGCTTGAAAGAAAGCCATGACATCCAAGGGTGGAGCACGCAGGTCATTGGTGCCACCAGTGGACTTGGATGCTTTGCGAAAAAATTTTGAGACAGCTGTGGCCACCCAAGGTGCTGATGCTTTTAAACTTGGTGACTATCAGGAGAAAAGTGTAAGCACAGCTGTGAGCTCTGCAGGTTTGCACCACAATGCAAAGTATGTCAAGGAGTTCTACAAAATCTCAGAAGGAGAAATTCCCTCTGGGCAGTTGAAGCAGTGCATCCTCAAATATGGGTACGCTCACAACGACAGTGAGTGGAAGGATGACCTGTGGGCAGGCAAGCTTGCAAGTCAATTTGTCTGCTTGCTCAGCCATGTGAGAAGACTGAAAAGAGACTCTTCGAAACTAAGGCAGTGCCTGCAGGGAGCTACAGGGGCTGAAAGGCAATCCATTCTTGAAATTGTGGATTTGCCAGATGCTTGCAAGAAAGCAGCCCCAGGTCCTGAGGATGACCAGGCCTGCAAGAAGGCCAAAGCTGCCAAGGAGACTTCTTCTGCGAAAGCTGCAGAGACTGGTGGCCAAGGAAGTTCCAGCTCTGCTTCTTTGAAAGAACCCGAGGAGCAGGCCTGCAAGAAGGCCAGAACTTTGAAACTACAAGTTTCAGATGTTTCTGTGGACTCCCATGGCTGGCCAGCCATTCTCAATTCTCCAAAGGCTGCAAAAGAAGAAGAAGAAGTGAAAGATTGCTTTTCCAGAAACATGACAATTCTGGAAAAAATGAGGGTAAGCTGCAAGGAGCAGCTGGATAAAGCTGCACAAGAGGCAGCCCAAGAGTTGGTTGAGAGCAGACCAGGGCTTGAAAGAAGGTCAGAAATCCAAAAAAAGCCAGCCTGCAAAGAATGCAAAAAAAAGCCAGCTTCGAAGAAAGCTTCCTTGCCCAAGGCAAAAAGCTTAAGGCCTGAAAGAAGGCCCACAGAGAAGCAAGGACCAAAAAAAGAAGCAGCACCACAGCCAGAACCATTGGTGGCAGCAGAAGGGCCAAGGCCTGAAAGAAGGCCATGGTCAGCAGTGAAAAAAGTCATGGGCAAGGACCAAGCCTATCTCATGGGCCTTTTTGGAAGAGATTGGAAGCTCATCATTGGCTGCACCAAAAGAATGGGAAAGATTTTCCCAGGTGGGCATCACGCTGTGATTTTGGAGCTGGAAAAGGTGGCCATGGAGGAGGACATAACAAAGGAAAACATGAAAGAAAAAAGAGACGATTTAGTCAAAAATGTAGATTGAATGCCTGAAAGAAGGCATACACCTTTCTAACAGGGCAAGGCCTGAAAGAAGGCCACTAGGAGGGTTCAGGCCGCAGCCATGTGCAAAGCACATGGCCAGGACTTTTTTCTTGGCCAAAAAAAATTGTGGTTTGGGGTTTGGGTAAAGTGTTTGTTTTTGTGGGGCAGGGGATAGCCAACGAAATTTAAAGAAAAACCTCACCGTTTTCGTTGTCATTCTTTTTGTACTTAGGTTATGACCTGAGTGTTCCAGGGGTGTTATGTTCACCAAAAAGGGTTTAACATAGTAGGCGAAAGCAATCTGTTTGTTGCCTGCAGCCTTTTGAGCCTCAAAACCGAAGATAGGTGGGGGGGCACCTTTCAACCTCTAAGCGCGCTTCAACTTAAGGCCTGCAAGAAGGCCCAGCAATTCAATCACTTGCAAATCTTCCAGCTCAAGGCCTGCAAGAAGGCCATCTGAAACCACATGACCTGGTGGGTAGGCCGAGCTTATGCTGGCTATGTGCCCTGGGGTCATGAAAAGGATTGGGATGATGGCGACACCTGGACTGGCTGGGAAAGGGAGCCTGATAGGGTGGAGGGACAGGGATGAGGAGGAGGAATCATCCTCTGACAACTCCCTGCGCAGGGGGCAGAGGAGACAGGAGGAGGAGGCTCCCAGAAGCACACAGGGCCGCCTCTTTGGCCCAAGCCCTGCAGAGGCAGCCAGGGAAGGCCTGCAAGAAGGCCAAAAAGGGAAAAGCAAAGGCAAAGCCAAGGCCAAAGAAAAGGGGTCAGGTGCAAGCAGCAGCAGGCCTGAAAGAAGGCCAGCTTTTGTCCCTGAGCATCGACCAGGGGAGGAGGATTGGGACCCTTTCAGGCAAGAAGCCAGGGGCAAGAGGGGAAGGGAAGCGAGAAAGGCTTTGAGGGCCAGAGACCCTGAAGTCCAAGCCAGGAAAGAGAAGGGCCTGAAAGAAGGCTTTAAGGAAGACAAGGTTCAGCCTTTGCATGAAGGGAGCAGGAAATGGAGGATGATCAAGGAGAGGGAGAAGGAGGTGAAGGAGGAGGAGGAGCAACTAATGCTTGAAAGAAAGCAGTTGCTGGAAGAGAAGGCAGCCTTCTTGGAAGAGAAGGCTGCATGGCTCAGCAAGCAGGAGATGAGCCCCAGCCCTGCCAGAGGGGTTGTCCTGCAGGAAGGGCCAGGGGCCAGGCCTGAAAGAAGGCCAAAAAGGAAGGACAGCAGCAGCAGCAGGCCTGAAAGAAGGCCTAAACAAAAAGCCGGCAGATCCTCCTCCTCTTCTTATTCATATGAATACAGTGAAGAGGAGGAGGTATTTGTGGAGGAGGAGCAGCCAGACTGGCAGGAGGAGGAGGAGGAGAAAGAGGAAAAGGAGGAGGAGCAGCCAAAGAAAAAGGACCCCAAGGACAAGGAAAAGAAAGCTGCAAAGGAGGAGGAGGAGCGAAAGGAGAAAAAGGTTTCCAAGGAAAAGGAAGCTGCAAAGAAGGAGAAGAAGCCCCAAAAGGAAGAGAAGCCCAAGGAGAAGGAGAAGGAAGATGACAAGGATATGGAGGAGGGGAAAGCAGCCAAGAAGCGAAAGGAAAGGAAGAAAGTGGTCAAGGAGGAGGAGGAGGGGCAGGAGGAGGGAAAAGAAAAAAGAGAGAAAGAGGTGGATGCTTCTGACCTGTGAGGCTTGAAAGAAAGCCACAGGGAAGAAATTGGCATGCACAAAAACTTGGCTTGAGAGAAAGCCACAAGGAAGAAAAGTAACCAAAAACAGGTTTGAAAGAAAGCCAAACCCCCTCAGGCTGTCTCACCAGGGGACAGGCCTGAAAGAAGGCCCCCCTGCTTCAGCGACCAATAAATAAAAAAGAAAAAAAAGATAATAAATAATATAATAAGAAATTTAACAGTAAATAAAATATTGAAAAATAAAATAAAATGAAATAATAAGAAATAATAGTTAAGGTAACTGAAAGAGAGCCAATACTATTTGAAAAAAGAAGAAACATTTAATTAAAAAAAGCATGTCATAAAAATGTTATAATTTAAACAAATAACTTCAACTGCGCCTAAACTACGCGAAACCATCCTGTGAAGTTCCCAACTGCGCCTAAACTACGCGAAACCATCCTGTGGAGTTCCCAACTGCGCGGAACCTGCGCGAAACCATCCTGTGGAGTTCCCAACTGCGCGAAACCTGCGCGAAACCATCCTGTGGAGTTCCCAACTGCGCGAAACCTGCGCGAAACCATCCTGTGGAGTTCCCAACTGCGCGAAACCTGCGCGAAACCATCCTGTGGAGTTCCCTGGGGTCTGGCAAACTCACACGCATGTTTTTTTTTTTTAATGTTAACTTTCAAACTTCATGTAAACCAAAACCTTTTTTTTTCTGTAGCAATTTCAGAACTCAAATCCCCAGCCGTACTTGGAGGCTATGGCCAAGAAAAGGCCTGCATCCCTTGAGGGCTTGAAAGAAAGCCAGAAAAAAAAACACAGAAACTGAATGAAAACAATGAGGAAAGCCAGCCACTGAAAGCAACACAAGAGACAAGTGCTGAGGAGAAGCAGCAGAAGGCCTGCAAGAAGGCCAAGTAGGAGCTTCTGAGCCCGAAGCAACTCAGGAAGAAGCAACCCAGGGGGCAACTGCTGAGGAGCAGCAAGAGGGCCTGCAAGAAGGCCACCAACCAGATGCTTCTGAAGAAGGGAAACCAGCTGCTGAGGCTGAGATAGAGGAAGCAGCAAAGATGCTTCCAGAAAGTGTAGCAAAGGCAGCCCAGGCAAGCCTGAAAGAAGGCTCTGAGGCTGGTGCCACTTTGACTTCTTCCAGGCTCAAACTTCACGAAAAAACACAGGCAGCCATCCAAGGCCTGAAAGAAGGCCACCTGTCAGAGGCTGCATTCTGGCAGGAAATCTCCAA